GGGTTGGGAAGGTCCACGTGGTAAGTTTCCCTTCACTAATTCTATTCTTGGTCTTATCAGTTGGTTGGCAACACGTTTCACACAAAGGCAAGTTTACTTTCACGAGCGGCTGAACAACACAAACAAAAACGTGGGGCTGCAGGTGGGCGTCTGTGACTTAACACAGGTTGGGTCGAAAGTATCCTGGGAATGAACGAGGTCACTAAAGTGGACGTGACTTTAGAGACGAATGTCCCCACACTGTACCAGGTGGACCAGGAGAGTAAGCACAGTGTGTGTCCCCAGCACCGCGCTGTCATTGGACAATAGAAGTCATGCTTATTGGACCCAAATGAGCAGTAAGAATGTCAAAGGACAGAAATTCTCCTTCTTTTGTCCAGTTGCCAACGAGGCGGCGCCGAGCTCCCGCTTTCCACCGGCCCACTTGGCACGTGAGTTCATCCAACTTGTGTTTCAAACAGTGACCTCTGTAATGCAGGTAAATACCGTGTGACGGGGGCTTCTGTCCACACGTGAGGGGCACATGTACGTGTGACCCGCCATGAATACGTCCCCTGCAGAAGGGGACACTGAGCCGGCTGTCAGTCCAAACAGTCGCACAACTGGAGGCAACAACAAGTCGGTCAGAAAACTCTACTGATTCTGTTCAGACTTCATTCTTTAACCATCCCCACTTTCTTTGTGCAGCATCAGGATTTGCTCCTCTGACGTGTGTGTTTTCCAGCAGTGGGTCTAAGCCTCCTTTGTAGTTGACACATCTTTTTTCTTCAACTGTGTTCACTCCTCCGTGTCCATTCAAACACGTCCTCGTCTCTCCGTCTTACGGCCGACTGCGTCAATCACTTCGGTCCCTGATGGATTAAAACATGGACGCTGCACACGTGGAAATGCTAGCAGGCGCTTTTGTGTCCATCGTTCAGGCTCACGGTCCCAGAATGCACTGCGCACTGCCGTCCCAGCGGCTGTTGGCATCACTGAATACAAAGGAGTTCAGAATGAAGAGATCCTGAAGGATGAGCTGCCGGTCCTTGGTGCCCCGGACACCATGGAGAAGACTGCCAGCAGGTCTCACACACACACACACACACACACACACACACACACACACACACACACACAGCGGCCTTTGCTTCATGTAAATGTATCATTCACATGCCAAATGAAGCTGTGATGAAGGGAAACGTGGAAGAGGAGCTTTGCTTGCTGCCTTTGCTAAACAGATGGTGTCCTTTACTTTAGGTTTTACTCGCCACACATAGAACAGGCTTTACACTTCCTGTCATGGCGTTCTAGCCAATTGTTTAGAAGGTGCTTTGAGACGGGACTTCAACCCACAATCTACGTCCACTGAGTGAGACAGAACCCAGTTAGAAAAGAGCGCTGCAGCTTTCTTTGCAGTGACATTAACTGTGAAACTGCTGTTTTGACTTTGACATTACCAACTGCACTGCCATGTAATATGGGCGCACATATTATACAGCCCAGATTGTGCTAATCACTCCCAAACCATCTGTGGCAGATATATTCTACCTGTAGATTGTACAGCTCCCCAATCCAGCGTTTGGGACGGTCTGAATGGAGGGCAGATGCTGCTGGGCCTCTATGTGTTGCAGGTTGTCTTGTGAAGCAGCTGGAAAGGGGGGAGGCATCTGTGGTGGAGCTGAAGAGAAACCTGGACTACGCCGCCTCAGTCCTAGAAGCTCTGTGCATTGAGGAAGCCAGGCAAGAGATTTCACTTCTGCTTTTCTCAAATAATCCATGAACATGAAGAAAAAGGGATTTTAAAATGATTTTCTTGAATTCTTTCACGATCGGCAGCTAAATAGACCTTTGAGCAGAGGTGGAGGAGCACGTAGAGAAATGGCCACACGCAAACGTTTGTCTTAAAAAACAAACCTGTGGAGCAGAGGAGTCCACAAAAGGTACAACAATCCAAAGAATCCAAGGGGAAACATTGAAGTGTGAAAGCAGAAAGCAGGTGAGGTTCAGGTTAACACATCATCCTCATGCACGCAGGACTTTATGGACACAAAGGGTTTCTTCCCGTCGGCAGTCGGCTCATCAACAGAGCGCGGCTCCCCCAGCGTTTTAATGGCACACGGTACTGGGCCATTCCAGTAGCACGGTGGCTTCCTCACTCATTTATAAACCACAACGGGATCATTTACACACAAGCTACGTCGTCTTAAGCATTTTCAAGCTAAAGTAAAGCACTCTAAATATCTTAAGACTATATTAACTGCAATACCCCGTAAATTGGTGAAAGGCAATTAGATATTATATTGTAGTAAGTAAGATCGTCCATGGATGATAAATAAATGACAATTACATTATAATTATCATTCATTCATATTATTTTACTACTAATTAGTATTTAAATGATTCCATTAAGTCTGTGTGTATGTTAGTAATATCTTTAATTTAATGAGTAACTCGTGGCTCAATACGGTTTCCAAGTTTCTAACCCAGAGTTGTTTAAATTATTGCTGCACAATGTTGCGAGCCTTATTCCTTATAGGACAGTGGGACCCTGCACATGAATACAGAAGACTAGTTAGTTACACAAAAGATGGCCGACCTGAAGGTAAACCAGTAGTCAACTCTCGTCTTGTGGAAGTTGTAACAAAAGACGGCAGGACGTTTCAGTTAAATGTGAATGTGTCTGAACGCTGGTAAATACGCGTCCCATCAGCCACGTGGTCAACGTGTGACACAATCGGTTGGGAAAATCTGACAAGCCGCGTTCTACACAATAATTGAATTGTGTGCTCATCGAGTAGTGAATAAGACAATCCTTCAATTTGTTGATGAAGATCATCAATCAGCAGCTTTGGCGAGAAGGTGTGATCTTTTTTCTGGCTTTTAGTCTGATGCGTGTCTCCTTGCAGGCGGCTGGTGGATCCAGAGGACCAGCTGGGTGACATCCGGTCGGACTCGGTGCCGTCAGAGGTTCGGGACTGGCTGGCTTCCACTTTCACCCGGCAGACGGTTGTGATGCTGCGCCGTAACGAGGACAAGCCACGCTTCCGCAGCATCGTTCATGCAGTGCAGGCCGGCATCTTTGTGGAGAGGTTTGGCTTGTTTGGTGTATTTGATGCAACAGTCATGTGGAATATTAGGCCCTTCATAGTGGTTTAGTCATGATGTGTGATGTTTGTTTCAAGGTTTTCCCATTTAACATGAATGATATAACACAGATAACATAAAGGGTTCATTGGTAATAATAATAAAACTCTGCATTATCCTCGTAGCTGAATAGGGTACAAACATGGTGGACTCCACTGGGTGATTGTTTGCTGTTGATGGTCAAAGCCAGCAGGGATACGCGTTACTTGTACGTGGTGCAACTAAGCCAATCAAATGTCCTCTTAGCCAGCTCAAACTAACCCGCTGACTGAAACCATGCTAGCTGATCCAGCTTAATGTCATCAACTGGAACCAGACGTCAGTCATCAGGATAATTGTGTGTCCGCGTCCTACTTCAAAAGGGGGAAGAGTCGATCAAATCAACTCAAAGGAAGAGGCTCTTTTTTCTCCGCTGACGAGCAGGAGGGGATCATGAACGCACCATATAGAACCAGGAGTTTGAATATGTGTGTGTGAATCAGCATGTGTGTGTGTATTCCCTCTATTCTTATCATGAGTTCACCTTAATCATATTCTATAAAGATGATAAGCTCCGTAATGAATAGTGATAGGAACGCCTTTTCAATAAGTGATGAAACACTGACTGACTCATTTACCTGCAGTTCCATAAAAGCCCTCTTTGATTGCATTTACTGGGACATCGGCAGGGAATGTAATGAACCATCCAGAAGTTTCTCAAGCGCCAAATAAACTTCAGGAACAGCGCGGCGTGCAGCGGCTTTCCCCGTGTTCTCCGCATCCCAACAATGTACACAGATGCACCATTGAGACACATCGTCCTGCCTGGAATGCAAGGACTCGATTGGTCGATTGGTATCACGTGGGACGACTTAACTCTGGACATAATGGCGAGGGACACTTGTTAGGATTTTATCAGCTACTGTCCATACTGCTTATCGGTCAGGTTCCTTATTGATACTATATGAATTATTTAGTCACAAATAGAAGATAATAAAAAATCCACATGCTTAATTGATTCCCTGTTGCTGGTAGCGTGAAGGGACTTGATGTGGGACCAGGAACGGTAGAGGGGGGGTTGGACGTGCTGGGTCATAGCTGCAGCCTCAGCCCAAAAACTCTCCATCACCAAAGCCATTATCTTAAGTTCCTCTCTAAGTTTTTTGTCTTATACAGAGAACTCTTCCCTTGAACTCAGCCGTCCACCTTTTAAAGCATGTCCACAAAAATAATAAGAAAACAGTATCCAGTTCAGCAAAAAAGGGACAAGTTGTGAGACGCTGTAAGGACACAGAGTCAAGGACATAATGCACAAACATAGATATTCAGATTATATTAAAAGCCCTAGTGGGTGATATTCCACTGGAGTCAGTGGAAGTGGTGGTCGATGGTTAGAAGTCTTGTGAGTTTACAATCAGCCAATTAAACGTTAAACATTGAACCGTCCAAAACCGATGCTCAAAAGGAACTTAAAGCATCATCATTTTAGGCTTCCTCTAACACACTAAGGAAGCATCGCTATTTGACCAGTAATAAGCAAGAATATGTGCACTGTGTATTTTAAAGCTCAGCCAATGTTGTCTCCAGCTTCTTGCTGTACAGAAATAGGACTGTGACATGAAATAAACAATCATCCAGAAACTCAGAAGACTGAAAATGTGACCAAGTTACAAGACCCACTGCTTACGTATAACCTATTGCTAATGTAAAGTCTGCACAGAGGAGACTGTGACACTGTGTTATGGAATGTGTCTGTGTTATATCTCTGTGACAGGATGTACAGACGGACCACCAACATCGTCGGTCTTAGTTATCCACAAGATGTCATCACTGTTCGTAAAGGGATTCATTTGTGTTTGTTTAAAGTAGAAAGGTTATGATCAGGGAAAGGAAATGAAATTGGTCCAAGTACAAAACCTTGTGGGACTCCGTGACCAACATTGGTGGTCATCAAGGTTTCACCGTTTACAAACACAAACTGGGATCGATCAGATAAATACGACATAAACCAGCTGAATGTGGTTCCATTTGTGTGGAATATTGCTATATTTCTTCAGCAGTAACTGATCTCAACACATAAATCCATAGATTTTGCAGGTGCAGGATAACAAAAGAAGCTAGAATTCAATAACGAGTTCCCAGTTGTTAAATTCTATATCAGTACAAAATCCTCCAGACTAAATTGTAACTGGTGTTTTTATGTTTTCTTATCGATGGTACCTTAACAAAGGAATCCTAGAAATGAACAGTTGAACCGTTATGTGGACATTCACGTGCTAATAAAGCTTCTGTGTGTCTTTTCTAGAATGTGGACATGTGGTCTTTTGATGTGTTTGCACTGAACGATGCTAGTGGGGACCACGCTCTGAAATTTGTCTTCTATGAGCTATTCACCAGATATGACTTGATCAACCGTTTCAAGGTATGTCCATTTTGACAAGACGCTGTGTATGTAATGAGCACAATGTCAGTGACAGCAGAACTAAGTATTGATGGGAACGTACTGGGTTCAACAGAACAACTTCTCTGTATTGCTTCTACAATTCTGCAAAGCAACTGGTTGTTCCTTGTCTTCTGTTGAAGGTCCCTGTTTGTGTCCTCATATCCTTCGTGGACTCCTTGGAAGTGGGCTACAGCAAACACAAGAATCCCTATCACAACCTGACGCATGCGGCTGATGTCACACAGACCATTCATTACCTGCTCCTCAAGACCGGCATGGTGGGACCTTCAGGGTTGGGTAAAAGCACAATGCAATCCGCTTTTCAAAAGTGCCTGCAGACTTCCTCAGTGGATCTTACAAGTCACTCATCACAGCTTTCCTACCTCAAAATCCAATCGGGATGAATGATGACTGACAGGTCGATAATAATGATGCAATAGCAAAGTTAGTGTTGTCTCTGACTGTAAATGGATGAAAGGCTGCATGACAAACTGGAGCTTTAAGTGACTTTGACTTTTATTGATGTAGGTTGTTACAGCAAAGAAAGAACAACTGAAGAAAGAGTTCAGTCAATCAGTAAAGTAAAGACAAAACATAGATTTAAATCATGGTTAAAACCTAAATGAGACTCCTTCTCAGGTAACCAAGGCCGCAATAAACAGAGGCCCATGGGGCCTTTTTCAAGCCCCTCCCCCAAGCACAAGCACCACCCAACTTAATTTGCGTTGAAATAATGCATCAACAATCCCTCATGCCGGCTGTCTAGGGACTATAGCAGCACCACATGTACAATGCAGACATTGTGTTATTAAAAGGTACAAGCCCCGCCTCCACGTGCCTGTGGGTCACTACGGGGGTCAGAAAGCTGCATGGGGGCAAGGCCGGGGCTGGATGGGACTCGCCGTGAGTTGCTGAAGGGGATATCACACTTTCACCTTTCTGGGGAAAGACTATGCTGGGGAGGCAGTGACTCATATCACAGCATATGGAACCTTGGACTCAAGCAGAGTAGTGCTCATTCCGTCCCGGTCTTGGACCAGTGGACCATCTCTTTACCCTCCCGAGACTACTGGGGGGGGTCCTGGCAGTTTGCCCAACCAGTCTACATGTGCTTTGTGGACGGAGAAGGCTTTTGACTCTCCAGTTGGTGACTTTCATGGACAGGATATCTAGGCGCACCCGGGGGTGGAGGACCTCGGGTCGGGGGTCTCCATCTCCTCTCTGCTGGTGCTGATGTGATGTCCTGTTGGCCTCCTCGCACAGTGACCTCCAGCACTCAGTGAGGCACTTTGCACCAGATCCTCTTGGTGAAGAGCTCTATTTGCTTTCATTTGAGTTGAGGTGCTACTGGAAAACAACCGAGGTGGTTCAGGCACACTGACAACTGGCAAAGAGACTCTGTGCTGGTTCACTTCCAGCAGGAGAACCTCACAACGTTAAGCAGGACGGTTTTTAATCTTCATCTCCCGATTGACACGTTCCTCCTCGTCTGTCTGCCTCTCTCCTTCAGCACTGGCTCAGTGAGTTGGAGATCTTTGCCATCATTTTTGCAGCTGCCATTCATGACTACGAGCACACAGGGACCACCAATAACTTCCATATTCAGACAAGGTAATTCCCACGTAGCATCGTTTGTAGCATTTCAATCCCTGCAGTCTCTGAGGACAGTGGACAACACTGGAGCATGAAGAGATATCTAACATGTGACCTAATAAAAAGCCCACTATGAATGATAGCAGCTTTACCTCATACATTGTTGGCATTATCACGATGACGGTGAGGGTGATCGTTCCTGAAGTAGCCGTGTCGCATTTGCAGGTCAGACACCGCCATGTTGTACAATGACCGAGCTGTTTCGGAGAACTACCACGTCAGTGCTGCATATCGCCTTCTACAGCACAGTGATGACATGAACATTCTGTCTAATCTCTCCAAAGACGAGTGGAGGTAAGAGAAGAGCGCTGCAGCTGAAGGGACGTCCTTTTTTACCGCTGTTTCCATTCAATGACTTCAAATAATAATTCACTGTACAATACAACCCCCAGATTACAGTGCAAGTCATTGCTTCTAAAATACTGCCTCCTACTGGTGCTTAGAGGGAGCTACAGCTGATGATACCAGGGAGAAACACGTCACCTTATTTTACAGTCAAGCAGAATCAAATGACTCATTTTAGGGACAGTTGAGTAGTTTGGGGCAGAGTTGCATCGATCTGGCACTGCATTGCTGCAGAAATATAGAAGTGACAGCAACAGGATGAAAGCATCTCAGTCTCCTCTGATTAAACTTTCCCCAAGCTTCATCTAAGATTCCTTCTGTAGGGAGCATGAATGTTTTACTGCCTGCCCTCTTTCAGAGAGCTTCGGGCTCTGGTGGTGGAGATGGTGTTGGCCACAGACATGTCCTGCCACTTCCAGCAGATCAACGGGATGAAAAGCCACCTGCAGCAACATGAGGCGTGAGTGTTTCACGTCTGGGTCCGTCCCGCCTCATGCTGCCAGTCACTCCAGTCCTTCACAATGCTGAAACTATCAAACCATGATTGTTTCTGCTCTACAACCCTTCACGCGCCGCGTCCACTAACTGGACTGGACTTGCAGGCCCGACAAAGCAAAGGCCTCGTCCCTGCTACTGCACACTGCTGACATCAGCCACCCTGCCAAACGCTGGGACCTCCATCATCGCTGGACCACTTCCCTTCTGGAGGAGTTCTTTAGACAGGTGACCACTTTGAATCAATGAGCGGCCTTTTCATTTATGCAGTACTCCACATGGCTCTGCACTAGTGACGAATAAGAAGAAGACAAAGTTTGTTTTCAGAGGTAAAATAAGCAGATGAGTACTCTGGGTGTAACATCAGATAAACCAGCGCTGCCGCTCGCAGCTCACCGCCTGCTAACAATATTTGATTGTATACATTCATTAGAATAAGGTTTAGTCTTTGTACATGTGAATTAGTAATGAGGTAGTAGAAGACGCTCAGCACCTTCTGGTGGACTTGTCCTCCAGTAGCAGGCAGTCAGTGGTTGTTCATGTGAGACAATGACTTAGGAGGAAGGCGTGTAGGGAGGGGAGGAGATGAACTGTGGCTGAAAACATGTCGACAGTCCGAATCCACTCAGCGAGGAAACATTACAACAACAGGATGATTGTACATGTAGTCTGAAGTGCTGAAGCAGCCATGTGGGTCCAGATAAGATCATTGGTCACACTGAGACCATCTTAAGTACAAAAGGAAGAGATACTAACTAATAACACTGTGGAAATGTTACTGAAGTAACATGTACTACATGTAAAGGCAAATCCACATTCTACGTACAAATGACACAGGAATGAGAAACGAGCAAACAGATGGTGACGTGTTGTGTTGGTGAGCCTTGATGGCAGCACCTTGTAACGCTGCTTTGTCTACTCGTTTTTAGGGGGATAAAGAAGCGGAGCTGGGTCTACCGTTCTCTCCTCTCTGTGACCGCAAACCCACCATGGTGGCCCAGTCTCAGATTGGTAAGATAGAATAAGAATCATTTACACCACAAAGCTGCTTGTTTATCTGCTATCTAATGAACAGTCTGCTCCAGTGTACCTCTGTTATGGAAACCGTTGTCCCAATATATCGATTCATCTGGGAGAAAAGTTCAGATGTTTATACGCTGGACCAACATTCGTATCTAGTTGTTGTGCGTGTGGAAGTAGCTTGAAAACTAAGTGATTATTTAGTTACTATCAAATAGTAAAAACATGTCGACACAAATTAGAATCAACAAGGTGAAGTGAATCTGTTAAGTGGGCGTGTCTTCCGTATCCGGCAGGATTCATTGACTTCATGGTGGAACCAACATTTACAGTGCTGACAGAAATGATGGAGAAAACTGTGACTCCGCTTGTTGAGGAGGCATCGCGATCTGGAACGGCTGCCTTCAGACGCTGGAGGTGACAAACAGAAGATTACAAACACTTATTTTAGATGATCCTGTGGTGTAGATCAGCCGTCCCCAACCTGCTCCCGTCTTCCCCTCACGGACCATCGGCTGACGTCCTCATCTCATCAGATCGCTACAACCAAGACAGGAAGTCACAGATAGAAACTAAAACAGACCTTCAAAAGGCCCAATTTCAATTGTTTCCATGTGTCCATTCTGGGCCACCGTAGGAACATGACCACCCCTCCCTAGATAGTTTTAACACTATTAAAAACCAGCATATAGTAAGAATCTATTCAAGTTCCATCATCAGATCCCCGATACGTTACACACGGTTTATTTAAGGAAACTAATACTTTAATACACTATAACCTTAAGCATGAACAGCACGTCTACATTATCATCTAAACACGCTAGGAAACAATATTTACATCCCATTTACATGTCAACACGTTGATGCTTTTACTTTGAAGGGTAATGTTGACGACGTTGCTTTGTCCAATAAGAGGCACCAGCTTTCTACCTCAACACGTCTGACAGGATGTGTGTTTGTGTGCACATGTCTACACTGTCC